TTGAACCACCAGCCTTCTGGTTAGCAGTTAAATGCCTTAGGCACTATGCTACCAGAGTGATTGTCCCATCTTCCTTCTGCTGAGCAGCTGGTGGGTTTAAACTGCTGTCCTGGTTAGCAGACAGATACTGTTTCCACTATGCCACCAGAGAGCACTTTCTTTTGGTCCTAGTCTTCCCCAAATTGTTGATAATGTTCTCAAGTTAACCCTTGATCTTAGTTTAATGACCTTTGACAAATCCAAACCCTTATAACTGATAAGAGGGAAACTCTGTTACCTTTTTCTCCATAGCAATTATTGGAGCTGGAATTGGTGGCACTTCAGCAGCCTATTATCTACGGCAGAAATTTGGGAAGGATGTGAAGATTGACCTGTTTGAAAGAGGAGAAGTGGGTGGCCGTTTGGCCACCACGGCTGTGGCTGGGCAAGACTATGAGTCAGGAGGTTCTATCATCCATCCTTTAAATCTGCATATGAAGCGGTTTGTCAAGGACCTAGGTACGTGATTTTGGTTTTAGAAACTAAGCAGATCTCTGTGGGACCATCCATGGATACTTTTCTCAGATGGGGAACTGAAACTTTTCTACTTTGCTAATTAATTGTTTTGTACAGAGAAGTTGTTACAACTGTTTTCATCACCTTCCTGTTAGCGATTGGTATTGCCTTAGTTAGGAGTTGCTTTCCTATAAGGGAACACTAGTTATCTGTATCTTCAGTTATCTGGAATTACAGCCATAGAGCTGGGTGAGGGTGGCTGCTGAGGTTCAGTTCTTGAACCTCTGGATTCCTGTTGAAGAGTCAAAGAATGTTTTGGGCTAGCAAGAACCTTAGTGCTCCTTGTATAGCTGAGGAAATGAGGCCTAGAGACATGAAGTGTCTGCCTTTAAAGTCACAGCCATGGAGGTAGATGTGGTCCTAGAACCCAGGACATTCGACTGCTTCCCTACCAGGAAAAGAGCTGGACAGGTGAATGAAGTCTGGCAGGCCTCTGAAGGCCCTTTCCTCAGGGACTCCATCTTGTGTAATTTTGTCCTCCTTCCAGTTATTTGAAATATCCGGTTGTGTAAAATAGGATTCACACAGGAATAGGAGTGCCTCCTTTTCCTCAGCTGCCTTCCAGATGCCCTGTGGACACTTGCTATGCATCCATTTCCTCTTTGAAATGGATAGGAGGAGCAGTTGATGCCGTGAAGATTCATGTCTGATGTTTTTGTTTTTTAATTGAATTAGGTTGGTACTCTTTTTAGATTGTTGTTTCTGCACGATCCTCTGACCTATCTTCTGAAGAATCTGCTTTTGGACGGTGTAGTGTGCCATACTATTCTAAAAGGAGAACTCCTTTAATGTTCTATTTAATGTGTCTCCTGGGAGCTAAGGGAAGCCCTGAATTCACTCACTTCAGGGTGTCCCTTGGTAACTGCAGATTATCTTCTTTCACTTGATCAGCATAGAAACCACTGACTTGACCTTTTCTCTGTTTTTACAGGTCTTTCTGCTGTAAAGGGCTCAGATGGCCTAATGGGGGTGTATAATGGAGAGAAACTGGTGTTTGAGGAGAGTCACTGGTTTATCATTACCATGATTAAACTAATTTGGCACTATGGATTTCAGTTCCTGAGAATGCACATGTGGGTAGAGGACATGTTAGATAAGTTCATGAGGTAATTTTTCCCTTCCATTTAACCCCAAATCTTTTAATTTGATGAATGTTAAGAATTATACTTTCTTGAAGTAGTTCTCTACCAGACTGTAAGCCCTGTTCATAAGATTGCTGGGTAGAATTTTTTTTTTTTTAATAGAAAATATACACATTATCCACTTGGAAATTGAAAGGGTAGTTTTATGTTTGCTTCTGAAAATATATCTTGTAGATGCTTATTTGGTGTTGTAGACCCTCTAAAATGCTCTGCAAATATTAACTTATTTCATTCTCTTAACAGCTCCCTCAGGTAAGTACTGCTGGTAGCTCCTAGAGTGGTATAAGTTCAAGTTCACCCAGCTGGTAGGTAGTTGAACTTGATGGAATTTGTACCCAGGCAGTCTGGTTCCATAGTCTTCACTTTTTTTTCCTTTACATTTTCTTTATTTTGTTTTTGTTGTTGAGAATATGCATAGCAAACATGCACCAATTCAACAGTTTCTACATGTATAATTTAGAGACACTGATTACATTCTTTGAATTGTGCAGCCATTCTGACCTTTCTTTTCTGAGTTGTTCCTCGCCCATTACCATAAACTCACTACCCTCTAAGGTTCCTATCGAAAGGATTTGCTATTGTCAATTTGATCCTGTATAGATAATTCTCAAAAGAATTATGTGAAACTGTTGTGCGGTTTTAAGACTTCAGGGAATAATTTTCATTTAAGGTTTAAAGATTATCTCAGAGCAGTAGTTTCAGGGGTTCCTCTACCCTCTATGGCTCCAGAAAGTCTAGAGTCTGTGAGAATTTGTAATTCTGTTCAGCATTTCCACCCTTTTGATCAGGATTATACTATAGAATCTATTACTGCTATTCAGTAATGGTAGCTAGATACTATGAAGTTCTTCTGGTGTCATGGCAAAGAAGGCAGTTGTTCATGGCGGCAATTAGCCACACAGTCCATATCCTCTTCCTATTCTTGACTTTCCTTCTTCTATTGTTCTAGGTAAATAGAGACCAATTGTTGTGCCTTGGATGGCTGCTTGCAAGCTTTTTTTTTTTATTTTTCCTGCTGCAAAAGACCTCTTTATTTTTTTTTTTTATTGTGATTTGGGTAAAAATTTACAGAGCAAATTGACTTTCCATACAGCAGTTCACATACACTTTGTCTCATGACATTGACCACAATTTACCAAAATGCAACAGCTCCCCTCCCACTTCTTCCCAATAGTTACCTCTTCCCTGTGTCCATCCCTCCATGTACTCCTGCCCCCTGAGCTGTCTCCCTGTGCATACACAGCCCTTCTTTCTCCCATGATTGTTCTCTCCAAGGAGTATCTACCTCAGGTAAGTGTTCAACTCATATGCCTGTCTT